CCTTTTCCTGCGGTGTCTCCACTGCCAGAGTCTGCCCATGCTGCCAGGAATCTTTCACTGATGCAGGGAAAGGCCCCAGCTGCAGGGAGCTGCCTGAGGCTATGTCTACACGGAGAAAGTTTGGCAACAAAAGTGCCGTCCACATGCAAAAGTCATCAAAAGTGAAAACTGGTCAGATCAGTTTTTCTGCCTCCTATTGTCAACATTTCATGGCCACATTGCTAGTTCCCCTGTCGACACACAGAGTGAAGTAATGCAGGTGAGCATCGCACAGTGCAGTGCTGTGGGAAGGCAGAGCTGATCCCAGTGCTTCTTGGGACTCCCTCTTAGCTCTGTGAGCTCTCTGTGCTGAGAAATGTCAAAGCAGCACAGCAGTCTCTCTAGCCCTCCCCCTGTAGCCGCTGTCTGCCTGCTGCTGTGTTCCTAGCAGGGCAGAACAGAAGCATTCAAATGATTTGTTCTTTGTTCCCCAAATGGAGCATCTCACTCAGCTGTCAGATCTTTCTTGGACCTTTGAAAGGGGAGAGGTGCATGCTTGCAGAACAACAGAGATCACAACACACTGAGCACAGCCATCAGGACAGGTGTTGTGGGATATTGGCAGAAGCCAGTTCTCTCGACAAAGCGAACAGCAGAATCCACACCGGCTCTTTGTTGGCAAGAAAGGGAGGGGAAAAGACAAAAGTCTCTTGCAGGAGTGGAAGTTTTTTGTCACCATACTGGGTGCTTTTCCTAACATAAGTCCCATTGTAGTGTAAACACTCCAACTGTTTACTCACCAAAAGACAGTTTTTGGCAACAAACATGCCAGTGTAGATAAGGCCTGAGCTTCTCTCTGCTACCTTGCCCTACTCCCTCCAGTTTTTCACCATGGCCAGAGCCTTTCCCTGTGGCAGGGAGAAGCTCTAACAGCAAGGAGGCAGTGGGTACTGCACTGCTAAAGACAGCAGTGCAAATAGGGCAGCACTATTTGGGCATGTAGAGAGCATGCAGGAGCGTCCCGAAGCCGGCTGCAGCAGCTGGCGCCCTAGGCGGAGCGGCGCAATCAGCGCCCCTGCCTGCACGGCTGTGACATCATCACGGGGCGCCGGGGCACGAGATGCCCTAGGCAGCTGCCTAGCTTGCCTAGGCTCATGGGCCACCCCTGACATATGCCATAAGGTTCTGGCATGTGTATATTTCACCAGCTACAATTCTATTTCTACCCACGCTAGGCAGGCTTGCACTGTATGTAGTCTTCACACTACTGCAAGCACAAACACAACCTTACATATTTAACAAAGCGTGGTCAAATATTAAGTAATATTTCCTAAATATTATTTAAAAGCTAAACTGAACTGAACTATTTCAATGCAGAAAATTAATTTTACAGAACAGAAACATACAGAAACATAAAAGATGCAATATAACTGATTTTATGAATATTTCAAGGTCAAGATTAATGTTCAGTGCGTAGATGTGCAATACTATCTTGTGTAAATCATGAAGCTTCTACTTTCTCTTGAATACTGAACTAGAAAAAATGTTATAAACGTAATTCCGCACTTTCTGTGACCAATATTTTACTCACTTTCCTTCAGGTACGAAGAAAAACTATGGGTGAGGTCATTGGCTGGCAGGAAACAGGAATCTGAAACCGTAAGAGACAAAATGTTTTTGTTGACAGATTTGCAACAGAACAATGGAGTGTGCATACATATATATATTTCTTGGATTAAATCTGTCAGTAATGCTTACTCTTTGAAAACCATGTAGATTGCCTTTTGGAAAAGTAGAGCTTCATGGTCTCTTCTATACAACTGTAATGAGTTTGTGAACTGGTTAACCAAATCATGGTAAAATCTATCAACATAACTGAATTCCTCCTCAGTTATCTGAATGATTTCTCCTCTCACCTACCCTAAGTACAGCATTGTACAACTGATCACATACATAATGGAGGGTTTTCACAAGCCTTTCTAGCATCCCTCAGAAGTTACTGTCAGAAGCATTATGACTTGTTGGACCATTGGTCCAATCTAGCATGGCAAATCCTATTAAAATAATCAGGATTGTATTACAGAATAAAAAAAGACATGGGTCATTCTCTTATCAATTGGGTTACTTTCTCTCCGGACTCCAACATTGCACAACTTTGTAAATTACACTCAATAACAGTTACATAAATATTTACATTAATTTTAATTCCCTATCCTGAATAGCAGGCTTCATCCCAGATATAAATCTGCCAAATTTTACCCTATTCAGTTAGACCAATAGCCATTAGCCTACTACTTTCTGTGAGAACACAAACTCACAGTTTTAACATTTAACTTCCAGATGCATCCTACTGCACCATCATCATGTTGCATGAAACCCAGCTCTTCAAGAAACTTATCTTTAGGAGGGGTATGTTTGGTCATGTAGGTAGGTTAGATTTATTTATTTTTTTATTCTGACAATGGTAAAAATCTCTCTGATCATTTGTAAAATAGCTTACATGTAAATTAAAGGCAATCTGTAAACCCCAATGAGAGGACACAAAAGATTTATGTTTCCACATGATTTGTGTCAAGTACCAAGACTGGGCCGTTTGTTTCCGATACTGTCACTGTGATTCCCCCTTAGAATATGGTTGAAAGGTGGATGGCAGAAAATTCTAGCCTGAGGTATTTCAAAGTGCTAAATGCAGAATGACTTGCACTGAAATCACAGACAGAACTTCACTTGCTAGTTTAACAGCTGTCCTTCTGTTTGCCTCTCCTAGTCTACTACATATTTTACAGAGTTTGTCTGTTTGATCAACAACACCTCCTAAACAGTAAGAACTAGGACCACCAAAATCAGTATACTGCTTCCTCTTATCATAACTAAATCAGTGTAAGGGTTTAGTCGTTCCAGGAAAACGGAATGTGCCTGGAATGAGATTGCTTCTCATAAAACCAAACAGAAAGGAGACAGAATTACAAAATCAAGTACAGTTCTTAAAACTGACATAATGGAGTGAATGTTGAAAGAGACAGAACCAAGATGAGCCAGAAAAACAGGATGAACCTGAAACAGGACTGCTTCTCAATAAACCTTACAGAAAAGAGATAAAACCGAGAAATTTTGAGTAGTACTCTGTTTTGGAGCAGCTAAATCAATACTTAAAGTTTGAAAACTAGAAGACAATATTATCAGAAACAAATTGACTATAAAAGCGACGAAGAGTCCTGTGGCACCTTATAGACTAACTGAAGTGTAGGAGCATAAGCTTTCGTGGGCAAAGACCCACTTCGTCAGATGCATCTGACGAAGTGGGTCTTTGCCCACGAAAGCTTATGCTCCTACACTTCAGTTAGTCTATAAGGTGCCACAGGACTCTTCGTCGCTTTTGCAGATTCAGACTAACACGGCTACCCCTCTGAAAATTGACTATAGCCCTTTTTTATTAAAATGTAGAGAATGATAAGAGTTTATAGGGATGAAGAAAAAAATATACTGGATGGAATTCACATTTTAAAAAATGTACTAAAATTAAGTTCATAAAAATAACACTGTATTTTGAAAAATACAATCATTTCAATAAAGCAAGTATATTTTTCTTTTTAATTTATTTTTTAAAAATTAAAAGGACCCAAGCAATGCCAGGTAAATCTTCTAGTTTTAAATAATTGATATGAATTGATCATGAGAAATCACTTTGATTGTGGACGCACTTGTAATTATCAACATGTTACTTGTTAAAATGCTGAACAGATCTACCCTCTAATCAGACTAATCCCAGCAGATATCTCTTGTCAGCTGATCCCCAGGCACCCAAGGGGGGAATCACTGGGATTCAAATAAAGTGGAGGCTATATTATCGCTGCCAACTTCACACCACCATTTCTGACTGGGTAGATGGGAAGGCAGACTTCATTTGTAGCTGGAGCACGGCATTACTGCAGTCTTACATTTATACCACCAGAATCTGACCCCTTGTCAGTTCTTATTTGCTTATGTAGTGGATGGGGTCTAAGAGAGGGTGAAGGTGCTCAACACTTCACAGGATCAGTTGATTCATGCTTTTTTTTTAAAATTTACCGATGCACCTTCCCTGCACTGTAAGATAAACTGCTAAGATTTCAACCGCAGTTTGAAATCCAAAGGTGAAGCTCTCAATGCTGAATGTGGCCAAAGGGCAGTACAGAAAAGACTTTACAAGGAGTAATTTCACAGCTCTAAATGTCTCTGTTTGGTGATGTCTTCTTATCAGTTCTTCAGGATAGTTGTGTCATCTGTCTTTGTCATTATTTCTCCTAATGAGGGCTCAGCCAGTCTGAATACTGTAACTCATTAATGACTTAATAATGCTGAATGAGTTCAGAGGAAGATATAGAACAGGGGGTGCCAACCCGTAGCTCTTCCTCCCCAAAAAGTGTAGCTCGCGAAGCCGCTCCTGCACCACCACCCCCCAAACAGCCCCCCTTAGTCCTCCTGTGCTCACCGGGGCAGTGATTCAAAATGGCAGCCTTCAACGGGAGCCGGATATGGCCAAAAAGCCTAATCTTGTTTCTTAAAGGGGCAGTCTCTTTTTTTTTTTGCTTGACAATTCGGGGGGGGGGGGTTTCCTTTTTTTGGCTCTCTTTGTTAAATGGGTTGGCCACCCCAGATATAGAAGGATACAGTTATTTTAATTTTCTGACTTCAAAGGGAAACTAAATATAAGTTGTGGGTCAATGACTATTTGCACCAACCAGCAGAACTGGAATGCTAACAATACCTTAAAAAACCCAGAAAGGATTAAAACCACATAACTACAGTTTGCAGAAGCCAGAAACCACATTGGCTCAAACCTGAATATTTACGTTTAGTATTTTGCAAACACAACTAAACAACTTCAAGTAGCTGCTCTCTATACTGCCCAGTGAGTTGATATGAATGACTTGACAGCTACTGAAGCCACCAATGCCTTTAGCTTTGTACGCTTCCAATTCCTCCTTCAAAAAAAGAAAGAAAAAACACCCCAAGACCCAATCTATATGGAAATAAGCCGTTTCACTAGCCTAAAGGCCTCTCTAGATAGGAAAGTGACAGGGTATTGTTATTTGCATAAAACCCTATGGACAAATAGAAGTATAAAACGTAAGCGCTTCACAGCAATACAGAGGATAAAAGAGATTTTTAGGATGCAACATGGCAGCAATGGCAAAATTCTCTCCTGATTCAAGAAGAAAGCTAAACTAACCCCAGGGAAAGAAGTGAGGGTCAATATAGCATCATATGTCTCTGCATGAAGCTGGGAAGAAAGTGCAGTTAGAAAGACAAGATTTAAACATTCAAAAACATAGAGTGCAGCACAAATCAAAGGCTCCTGGTGGGGGCAGAAGTCACACAGAGTTCAGTGACTATCAATGGGATAAAACAAGAACCAACAATTTGTTGCTGGGGCTTTATTGTCTCTAAGTATACAATATCAATAAATAAGAGCTCAGCATATCTTCATATATAACACAACAATAAGAATTAATACTACAACTTGGGCTCAAAATAAGGAATCATGAAACTTTTTAGGCTAATGCTGTTAGGGGTAAGGTAAGCTACAGGAGAGAGAAGCCATCTAATCCAAAAAGAAAATTGCATTTATTTTTATTACAAACTACTCCTCCCATGCGCACACACACTTTGTGAATTCAAGCTTCTGGAAGATGCTGCATTGACAGCACTGGAAAATTAATTCCACTTTGTTCATAGAACGAAACACACTGCATTGTAGTTTCCTCTTCATCTCAAACCTTTAGAGAGGTGCAATGGGAGCTCAGTCTTCATGCGCTGCCCGTTTTAGAAGTGGGTTCACGAGTCACTCTCTCCAATCAGACTGCCAACACACAGCCAGTTTTGGTACAAAATCCATCCACCAGGCCTGCCAGCTCATTTCATAAAGCTTACTAAATAGCCAACAGGTGATAAGAGCAGTGCATTCAGCATTCCATAACTAATCCAGAATACTATCTGATTACTCTTCCTTCTTTAGAATGTACTTCAGCTCAAGTGAAGCCTTATGTTAAATGTCTGAGTATAGTTCCACTAACTTTAGGAATAAAGCCATTTTTCTGGCTCAAATCTCCATACTTCTATGAAAAAGATACTTCCTGAAATTAATTTTCTGCGTTGATTGGATATGTTGAAACAATGCTTCTTTTTATTTTCTTAATAGCACCGTTTAGAAAACAAAACCATGTACTTATTCCAAAAGAACTCACAACTCAGCTTAAACAGCATAGCAATACCTCAGAAGAAAAAAAAAAATCTTACAAACACCCCTAGAACTCAGGAGATCTGACTTAGGAAATCCTTTATTTTCCTAATACATATGAATCTCCATCCCCCACTCAGAAGGCAATGCACAAGATGTCTCTTGGATGCACACATTTTACCTGGCAGTTTTAACTCTTCTAGTTCAATCACTGAACGTTTACTACCAAAGTGTTGATTAAGCAGCTTTTGTAGGTCTTCAGGGACGCCTGGTTTTGGAGATGATTTTGCAAGAATATCAGAAATTTTCTTCTATTAACAAAAGCAAAAAAAAAAAAAAAAAAGGAGATGTAAGGCATTTTCAATATGTTGTTCACTATTTGACAAGCTAACGACAGTCTGTAAGAGTATATTTCTTCATAATCTCAGTGCTAACGTCCTTATAATTGGGCAAATCTGCCATTGCTTTCACTGGAGCTGTGTCTAGACTACATCCCTTTTCTCGAAAAAGGGATGTAAATTAGACACTTCGAAATTGCAAATGAAGCCAGGATTTAAATTTTTTTGGGGGGGAAAAAAAGCAGCCGCCATTATGCAAATGAAGCACAGAAAATTTAAATCCTGGCTTCATTTGCAATTTCGAAGTGTCTAATTTACATCCCTTTTTTGAGAAAAGTGATGTAGTCTAGACATAGCTTGGCATGAAAATTACAGATTGGGTCTACAGCCTGTGAAGATGCACTGTGGCGTGAAAATTACAGATTGGGTCTACAGCCTGTGAAGATGCACTGTGAAGTAAAAACCAAATCATTTTTACTGTGTACCTCTGTTGTGCATTACTGGCACACTAAAATATTCTCAAAGATTGTACTGGGGAAGGAGGTGGGGTTTTTTCGATGTATTACTTTAGCAGTGATACAAAGCCTCACAAACATATCACAAATCTTACAATAACAGGTGTTTTTTTCTCTTAAAACTCCAGCTACAGGACTCAAGAGATTACTAAACAATTTTAGCTCTCATTACATTAAAAAGATTGCATAGAACAGCTTGGAAACATGACTAGAGAATACCCTAACCACTCAAAACCCAAAAAGCTACAAAAAAAATCCTCCTCAACTTTATTTGAAATGTTATTCTTTTTAAATTGATCATGATTGGTGGGGAAGGGGCTAGTGCATGATTTTTGAATGAATGGGGTTGGCAATAATGTACTAGAAATATCAAGACGAAGTGGGTCTTTGCCCACAAAAGCTTATGCTCCTATACATCTGTTAGTCTATAAGGTACTACAGGACTCCTTGTTGCTTTTGCAGATCCAGACTAACATGGCTACCCCTCTGATACTTGATAGAAATATCAAGAATACCAGGTCTCCATTTATATATTTTTTTGCTGCAGGATATTGGCAAGATCTTCTAGGACAGGAGATAGCTCGTGGGACTGAAACCTAAAGTACAGTTTTCAGTCTCCAACTGGGTGATGGGAGCAGGGATTCTGGGTTGTATACCATAAGGACATTTGAGCAGTTGAAATTTCAACTGCAGAACTATATATAACACTTTGAGACCCACATTTTCATACATCATCAAGGAGAATGGCAAACATTTTAAAAATTCTGAGCAGTCCACCTTTAACAAGCAGTCAAGAAAATGGCATTTTTTAAAGGAAGACTACATTTAGGGCTTCATCTTAATCTCACTTCGTAGTTATAATTTCACTTTCTAATTTCATTAAACCAAAGACAAAGAAAGAGAACCTGGGTTCCTCTTTATTAAAATGATTTTACTACTTTTTAAAAACAGGAGATTTTCAAGCAGAGAAAGCATCTTGGCATGACAGAGGATATTACAATATGGACAATCCTAACAGCCAGACTGTGAACTCTTTATTCGCGTCAGTGACACGTTACTCGCTTGAATGATCCCAGCTAACTGCTCACCCATGGGACTAAAGGGATCATAACCTGGCCCTAAGAAAGCTCTTGAAACCACAGATATCAAGTTCTTTGCCCAGTCCCAAAGCACTTAGGCCTTGATCCAGAACCTTTTGAAAGCACTGGGAGCTTTTGTAACAGATTTTGGCGCAAACCCTTGCAGTGTTCTCAGTGAACAGCAGTAATTAAAGTTCCATCCTGATTTGGTAAAATTTTCCTGCTGTGTAATGACTGCAAGCTGGGCCACATTTTGGAGATGTTTTATAGGGAGCAGTTATCTAGCAGATAATAACCCAAGATCAACAAGACTCTTTCTGCAGAGTACCACAGGATAATTGCCATTTCACTGGCTCATTACGTCATTCACTGACTCACTCAATCCCTTCTGGAAAATTATGGTTCTCTTGAGGAAGATGCTGATGTTAACAAGAAATTCCATAACAGTCAATGCAAGGACACCTGATCACACTCTTTTTCTTCAAGGAGAGCTGGGGGAAAATGTTCTTCACACAGGAAGTTTTATTATTTTTCTTCCAATTCATTCCAGATGCTTAAGGAGCAAAGGATTTTACGTATTTAATTATTTATAAAAGAGAGACTCGTTAGTTTGGGACCTTTAGGTTAGTATGATAAATTTCTTCATGATGATTACTTGACAGGTTATGTGTGCAGACTTTAGTGGCATATTACCACAGAAATAAAAAGTCTAATTAAGCCTCTAATGTTTGCATGAAAACTGGAGGTTTATGATAGGTCTAGTCACTCACTCATTTTCATCCTGGGATGTATTTGTTTTGGCTGCTGCAAAAGTGACATGGTTATTACTGCCGGTGTTGCCTTTAGGGCAAAATCCTCCCATCCCCTGAGGTGTATGCAAGGTCTAAGATGAAACCAAAACCCTGTGCATCTACTCTGTGAGATAGCTAAGCATTTTAGTCTGTACAGAAAGACAACAAACTTTGTGTTGTATCATCTCCACCAGGACTGTGGAGGGTGCCTGTGGGCGCACACACAGGTCATGGACAGAAAATCAGTACATAACAAGGCCCCCCAATATATCTGCTCTGGGGAGAAAGGGGACCAAAGCACTTTTGCCCATGAAATGCAGTAATGGATTGCCTGGCTGCAATTCCATCTCCCCCAAATGCTCTTGCAATACCTACATTAAGCTCTTTCAGTCAACTTTGAACACAAGCTGTGGCTGGCTAGGTAGATGTGAAGCAGGTATTTGAGTGGAGTTGAGAGAGGTTTCTCTTCTAAGACAGAGCTGATTTTCTCTTTCATAAAACTGGATGCAACGTTGTGTTTCCAGTAAACTACACACAGGGAAACCAGTTTCTAAAACCATTTAAAAGACATCACTGTCATTGTGCTGTCCTGAAACTGGCATGTTTTACTAAAGCAACTGTACCCATCCAGCCCCCAAACATTGTTTGTGTTGAACTTTATGGCAGGAGCAGGAGAGACTTTACAGTACCTTCCTTCTCCTCTTCACCTTCGCAGTGCTTTCTTCTTTTTCCTCAGGCCGAGTCAGAAAACATTCTGCAGGCTGCAAAGCACATGTTGTAAAAAGAGATACATCATCAGAGATATATTACCCGGAAACACCACAGAGCATGATGGTGGGTGGGGGCAGAAGTTGCGTACTGAAATTTAGATTCTGGCAGAGAGAGGAGAAAAATTTATACAAGTCTGGGATAAAACTCTGCTCTATTACAGTGGTGTAAACATGAAATAACTTCTGGAACTACTTCATATACGCAATATGGTAACAGAGAACAGAATAAAAGCACAGAAACCTGAAACATGAGAATCACAGGCACACTTTTATCACCCAGTTTACAGCAGATTTAATACAATAAAAAATCAGATGGGAAATGCGAACAGAGTTTTCAGAAATTAAATACTTTTAAACTCTATTATTGTCTGAGATACTCATTCTAACTTTGCCAAACAGGCCTTTGTAATAAATGGGTACAACCAAATAACCAGCAGGTGAACCATACTGGACAGCCACGAGAGAATAATCAGAAATAATGATTTTTCTCTATTTCTGATTTCCGTTCTTTTATGTTTAAAATGTAACATTTTTCAAGAGACGTTTTCAAATTTTGCTCTGTGCTGTTCCTCATTTTATATCATGAAGACTAATTTTTAGCTCATGAAATGTCTCTTTGGTTCATTTTTCCCCCACTCATGTGTATTTAGGATGATTTGTTTATGAGCACTCAATTTGTAAAGGTGGCAACTAGTGATCTCTCATGTCCAGAGGTCACAGGAAAATTAAATACAGTGGCAGCTCGTGTGCTGTCAGTGGTACATATACAACAATTTGAGACCTGTAGGTGTAGCTGGTAGCTGGAGTATTATTAAAGGGGCTTTGTCCCACTAGCTCCTAAAACCTACCACTGTGAATATGATTAATACAGTTGGCATATGTTACATTACTAAATTAAAGTCAAACCATCTTCCTAACTCTGCCTGAGATTATAAACGGAGCCAGCAAGGGGAAATCTTTCTGTTGTCCATTTCTTACCTCTTTTATCTCAATCCTACAGGTCACACCATTTCAGCTCCATTGTCTGTGCTGTTATCACTAGGGATATAATCCCGTTTAATCAGCTAACCAGATACATTTATAATTTAACCAGTTAACCCCTTAAATAGGGCTGGTGGGGGGCTGCTCCAATCCAGCCAGGCTGGAGTGCCCCGTCCATGGTGTGCTGCTCCGGCGGGGACAGGCCTGCCATGGACAGGGGCTACTCTGACCGGACTAAAGCATCTCCATCCCACAGCAGACCCTGCTGGGCTGCAGCAGCCTCCTGCCTGTGGCAGGTGGGGGACGGCTTCTGCCCCCGCCAGTTAACTGCACTGGTAAACATCACCTGGTAAGGGTGGTGTTTACCAGTTAACCAATTAACTAGTCACACCCTATAGTCATCACTGCTATGAGAGGGACAAGACAGGTGAGGTAATAACTTTTATTAAACCAAGGTCTGTTGATGGAAGCTCTGTGTAGTTCAAAAGCTTGTACCTTCCATCAACAGAAGTTTGTCCAACAACACATATTACCTCATCTACTTTGTCTCTCATCTCCTGGGACCAACAGGACTACAACAATTCTGCAAACAATTATTGCTACAGCTTACTTCTATTGTGGTAGCATCTCCAGGATCAGGAGACCATTGTGCTAGATGCTGCACAAATATAATGCCCTGGCAATGTCTCTCTCCCCCTGGGTGCAAGTCTTTCTCTTCTTGTCTAGACACCCAAATAAACCCTACCCACAAGACTGATTCTATCTTGCTGGCCCAAACCAGTTTCATTAGTATCTTGTTTTTTTCTACCCTTCCAGATATATATGTCATAGCTCAGGGCAAGTCGACCTGCATTTTCCCCCTTTCCAGCCTCCTCAGAGTCACCTCTCTTGGGCGAAGACTCCAGACTCCCTTCCTTCTGACTTGGGTTCTTCCAGGCTTCACAGCTCTAGTCCATACTGTGAATTCCCCAATAATTCAGACCGACTAAGGAGCCCTGCTTTGCCTTCTCCTCAAAGGAGACAAGCAGCAGAGGTAGAAGGTACCACACAGTTCTTCATAGCAAGTACATTTTTTATTCTTAAAATAGTCTTATTGAAAGCATTACAGAAAATACATACGATAGAAGAGCCTACACATATGCTACTAAGCTTACCACAGATCACCTCAGCTCCTGTAGGGTTCTGTTAGGTTTCAGTCCTTCAAAACACACACCAGATTTTTTCTCAGCTACACATATGATCACCTCAGCTCCCGTAGGGTTCTGTTAGGTGTCAGTCCTTCAAAACACACACCAGATTTTTTTGTCTGTGGTAACAAGTTCAAAACACCTTTTGCTCAGAACAAGACCACACAAGAATCTGAGAGTCACTGCTTTACACACTTCTGACCTTTGATATTGGGACTCTGAGAACATTTAATCAGAAGATAAGGAGAGTCTCCTTGAGACCTAGCTTCAAAAGGTTGGATCTGAAGGTGGGAATTTGCATTCTCCTCTTCCCCAGTATTTCCTATGAAACCCATTCAGCTAAAAATTCATTCTTGTTTGGCCCACTGTTTAAAAGAGTCCTTTGAAGATCTCGTAATACTTCCCAGCGTTTATATTAAGTCATGTCTCTCCTTTTAGCAATATTACATACAATTCCACATAAACATTTGCATTTTTAATACAGGTTGAACCTCTCTTAACAGGGACTCTCTGTTCTAGCAACATCCCTGGTCCAGCAAGACCATGGATGTCCCAGGACCAGAGAGTCCCGATGGAGAGCTGGGAGCTCTGTAGCAGGACTAGATCTTAGTAGCAGGACTGCTGCCTAGTGGTTGCGGTGTGCAGGGGTGGGAGGCAGCAGAGCCACCCAGCAGCACAACCAGGAGCCCAGCAGCCTTGCTTCCACCCAGCAGCTCAACTGTCCAGTGGGACTAGGAGGCAGCATGGCTGTCCTGTGGGGCCAGGAGCCTGACTGTGGGGCTGCCTGGTAGAGGGTCCAGGAACCTGGGAGTGGGGCTGCCTCCTGCAGCTCTGCCTGGTAAGGCTGGGAGGCAGCAGAGCTACCGACTGAGGCTGAAGCCCAAGCAGGGCTGTCGCCTGGTGGTGCAGCTGAGCCCAGCAAGGGGGCTGCCTTGCAGGGCCAGAAGCCCAGCAGTTGGGCTGTGCGGGCTGGCAGTGGGGCTGTCATGATGGGGCCAGGAGCCCTGTGTGCGGAGGGGCTGGTGGCAGGGGGACGCCAGCTGGGCGGTTGACAGCAAGGCCATGGCTGGGGGGGGGGCAGTGACAGGGAGCCCTGAAATGACCTTCCCTGGTCCCACAAAATCACTCATCAGGGACCGGTCAGGTCCCAAGGGTGCCACACCAAGGAGGTCCAACCTGCATAATGAACTCCCAAAATACTTAAGCAATTCAGTAAGGTTTGTACAGGATATTGCAGGAATGGCCATATTTGTCCCCATGTGGACTAGAGCTTCTCTCCATTCCTAGTCTCCATGTGCGCAGACCATGATTTTCCACTGGACCTAGCCTAGACACATTGGCTATTTTGTTCCACTAAGAAGCACAAGACTCCTTTGGGCCTGGGGAGTTGATGAGCCCAGGAAAACTTATTCAGATACAACTCCACACCATATATTACTGAAATATTCAGATAAATCTAATTACAGTGAATGACTGTAAACTTATGTAAACTTTTGTTGCTGGTTGGTATCTTCAGTAGTTTCAGCATCTTATCTACACGAATCTTCAGACCCTTGTATTGTTTCTCCTACTCTTGCTCATTCTGCAGCTTTTTGTAAATCGCCACTAAAAATAATTATTTGCATTTTTTCCTTCTGAAATGTACTGCGTAGACTACCCACTGATTTTGACCTGGCTCCATGAGCTCTGTATGTTTTTGTGCTATTTTTATATGGAAATTTTAAAAATGCAGAAAAACAGGAAATTTGTGTTGAGACCTTTGATTTATGAACTAAAATGCCATGAATTCCATGTTTGTTAATCATAGACAGAACATAAAATGTTTCCTGTGTTATGTTTCTTATGCAACATCTCTTCACATGTCGCCAAGTTACTGAAAACCCAAAATGTAAACTGAAAACATTCTTGTGTCTGAAAGAGAAAGAGTGAAAGTTTGCATTCCAATTAGTCCATCCACTGAATTTGGGAGTTACTGACAAAATAAACATTTAAAATGGAGACAAACTGTTCTTTTCATTTTGGGTCTGCTGACAGTCTGTGAATTAAACAAACTATCAAAATAGTCTGTAGACTGAAAATATAGATGTTAATAATTCCATTCATATCTCTCCTGACTGGTTCTAGATACCAAGTCCACAGTAAAATAGTTTTTGGAATGGATTAGACAGGAGTGAAATGAATTAAATCTGCAATATAATACGAAGCAGAAATGGAGGTTTCAGGTGAAATGCAAACATTTAGATTACAGGCACCTCTGTAAACATACCTGATTAGTGAACTTTCCTGCAACAAAAGATATTGTAATGAATTTGTGGCTTCATGACACCACACTTCATTGCCCCATGGAGCGTTATAGCTGCTATAGAGCTAAAACTCAGAGCCCTTCTTGGTCCAAAATCCAGGCTTTTAATCCTTAAACTAAAGATCTTTGTGAGCACCACATCATGAGTCACAGTTAAGCAGACTCATTCTATCCAGTAGGAGGCAGTGCTACACCAGCTTATTCTTTTGCGAGGACATTTATTTTATTTTAAATGTTAAGCTGTAGTTAGTGGTGAACTCTCTTTATCTGAGGTTCAAGACGGACAATTGTAGCATAAGCCTCCCCCACATTATTCTGCCAAAGGTCCCTTGTCATGACCAGGCGGTAGATAAATGTTCACTCTCCATGGCCCATTCATTCCCTGATGCCTCTGCACCAAAAAAGGTGGCAATAAATGCTAATGGTATTGCTGACACATGTCCATCACATGCTGGAACAATACCACAAACTTATTTCACCTACGCCACTGAATAGCCATCCTACAATTAGAACATTTGGTTACTACTAATGACCTGGGTCAAATAGAAAACTGATGACCTAAAGCAGAAAGATTCTTATCTCATCCCTTAATACCCACCCAGTTCACTCCCATGTTTGTTACCTTGAAGGCAACCCTACAAGGAGACCTTTTAAACTCCATAGTGGGTTAAGGATGACTCTTCTTTCTGCCTACTTCTCAGCTTAGACAGTGAGCTTGCTGCATCTTTTATTAAGTGTATCCTGTGAGGTGCTGAGCATCCTCAATTCCT